GCCTCATGTGCACCCACACACACCTTTTACACCCCACTGACAGTTTTCTCCCTCATTCTCCATTGAATGTATAATTTTCCTGCATGTAAAACTCATGTCTGATCCCACAGAGAGACAATCTGAGGAGAATCTCACACTCTGGACACATTTACATCTATTTTACGTTTCCCGTCACAGATATACCCAGAATGCATTGCTTCAGTTTTCCAATAAATAGTTTTTAAATTATTTTATTGATGCTTCTTTAATGAAAAATCTACGACAAACAAAAGAAAAAGACAATCAGCYGAACTAAAAAGCCTCAACAAGTTTTTAATTTTTAGACCAGAAGCCAAAGTTCTGTTTGAGGAAATCACATCCCGACAATCAGCAGTTGTAAAACGAGCTGTACAAGGGTTCGTACACCTCTAGGGGGCAGCATTGTACAAATAATGTGCATGAGTTGTAGACAGCTAGGAAGTGTCAATTTGAACCTGCAGTTTAAAATTAGCTCCCGCTAATATTTCTATTGCATAAGTGGTTTAGAAGTTGTGGATCTACGGTAAATTTTTTCATAAGTGCTTTAGAAATTGCGGAGTAGGGTTGGGCAATATYGGCAAAAAAATTAATCACGATTAATTGTGGTATTTAGCCAATAATGATTAATTTGACGATTAATCACCTGAGGTCCCTGGACAATCTTATGTCCTGGTCACATGACCAGTTTAATGGGAAAGATTTGCTCTTTGTAAAAATCTGTTCCAAATTGTGTTAAAATTACAGGCTTCAGGCTATAAATCTAATTTTAAATTGTGTTGATAGGTAAATAAGTTACAAAACTGTTTTTTTAATGTTCATCATATTTGAAGTGGAGAGGAGCAGCGAGCAGACTGACTGGAGTGATTCCCAGTCCGTCTGCCTGCTGGCATTAATCGTATTAATCGTCAAGTGCCAAAAAAATAATCGATTAATGTTTTTCTGATGATTAACTGCACATGATACGATTATGTCCAACCCTATGGCGGAGCTAACATTTGAATTAGCGCTGCCCACCACTGCCCGTTTCTGACCAACAAACCAGTTTCACTCCAGTTTCTGCTCAAACAAATCAGTGTTTCTGTACGCGCTCATGTCTTGTTGGTAATTACAAGCTGACGCTACAAACTCTGTAACTACAATTGTTTTTTTTTCTGTATTTCTATTGGTTGAGAGATGAAGCTGTGGGCGGAGCCTGCAATGGACCATGGGAGTGGGTGGTCCTTACCGTCTCTGTAGATGTAGACATTGAAGCCATCGTAGCTAACGGGTGGTCTGGGAGGGAGCCAGCGCAGCTCCAGCAGGATGGGGGGCAGTCGGGTGGGCAGCACAGGGGCTTCAAAGGGCACATTCATGGCTGACCCCAGGTCGCTTGAGTCCTCGTACTCTGAAACCACTGCATTGACGAACTCCTCGTCTCTGTCAACACCAGTCCTCTCTGTTGGGTCCAGCCAGTAGCTCTGAGGCTCTGCCTCCTCAGTGTGGCGGCCATCATCAGTTACACCTTCTGTTGTGTTGTACGTTGTGTTGTACGTTGTGTTGAAGGGAATGTGAGTGGTCACCACCTCTACAGAGACATTCTTTCCACCAGCCTGGGTCTCCTGCATCTGTTGCTCCTCCTCCATCATCAGTGGGATGTCCCGAGTCTGACGGGACGGCCGCTGTCCCTCCTCCGTGTTTGGGACCTCATCTGCTGCTCTCTGGTTCAGGTGGATGATCTTATGGGAGACGTTGAGAGGGGGGTATGGAACTGTAGGTGTGAGAGGCGAGGTTGAGCATCTCATTTGTATTATTAGCTAAACAAAAAGTAACATCAGTTTCTATAAGCTGTCACCCCAGGATTAAAATGTATTTCATCTAAAATAACTAACACCAGCTTTTAGGAAGCCTTCACCCAGGACTAGAACATACAGCACAATCATATCTAAGTTCTGCAAGAGCTCTGAGGAGAACCCATCAGAGTCTGTGAGGAAGTGGGAGGGTCTAGTCTCACCTGTTCGGTGCTGCAAAGGTGCGTGAGTGATGTCACTGCGGGAGATCAGCGCAGTCTGGTAAACGGTGGCCTCGGAGATAAGCTGGAAAGTGATGTTACGGTAACACATCCCTGGTAACCAGTGTTTGAAAACTGTTTTCCCTTTGTAGAAATCTGAAAAACCAGCAAACAAATTTAAAAACTATAAATCAATATTCAGCCAGCTCATGAATCCAGTCYGACAACTTCAAATCACCAAACTACAGGAAGAAACTAGTCCAACAACCTTCAGTCACCCAAAAACAGGTAAGATAAACCAGTTCAACAACCTTAAATCACCCAACAACAGGTAGACAAAACCAGTCCAACAGCCTTCAATCACCAAATAAAAGGCAGCCAAAGCCAGTCCAACAGCTTAAATCACCAACAACAGGTAGACAAAACCAGTCCAACAATCTTAAATCTCCCAAAAACAGGTAGGCAAAACCAGTCCAACAATCTTAAATCTCCCAAAAACAGGTGGACAAAACCAGTCGAAAAATCTTAAATCACCCCAAAACAGGTAGACAAAACCAGTCCAACAACCTTAAATTACCAACAACAGGTAGACAAAACCAGTTTAACAATCTTAAATCACCCAACAACAGGTAGACAAAACCAGTCTAACAACCTTAAATTACCAACAACAGGTAGACAAAACCAATCTAACATCCTTAAATTACCAACAACAGGTAGACAAAACCAGTCTAATAACCTTAAATTACCAACAACAGGTAGACAAAACCAGTCTAATAACCTTAAATTACCAACAACAGGTAGACAAAACCAGTCTAATAACCTTAAATTACCAACAACAGGTAGACAAAACCAGTCTAACA